AGTCAAACCCCATTGTTATTAAATGAAGAATAAACCAAGCTTTGCATAAAACACCACACATTCATAAACACACACTTTTTTGCTTTTTTACTCAAAGAGGATGTTACTTAATAATAGTGGGTTTTCTTGTTGCTTTTTAACCTTTAAAAATTTTCATTTTGGATTACTTATTAAAGAGGGCATCTTCTGATTTACTGACCATTCATATTTCTTTCTCTGTGAATTGCCAGTTTATTTTTGCCCATTTATCTATGGCGTTTGTTTTCCTTAACAAATTGTAGACATTTAGAAAAATATTCTGACTACAAATTCTTTGTCAGTTATCTGTAATGCAAACATCTTCCTCAGGTGTGTGGCTGGTCTTCACTTTTCTGATGCTGCCTTTTGACTAATAGAGGTTTTTTATTTTAATATCATTAAATTTATCAATATTTTACACATTTGATTTTAAATATTTTAAAAGAATTTTAACCTTACTCTAAGGTTTAAAAAAATGTTCTATATTTTCTTCTAAAAATTTTAAAGTTTGCTTTTCACATCTAGGTATTAATCCACTTAGAACTGTTTATATATTGACATGAGGTAGCAATACAATATAATTTTTTTCCATATGGACAACTAAATGACCACTAACTGAATAGTCTATATTTACCTCAATGTACTTCAATTCTATCTCTGAAACACATCAAGTTTCTATATATACACACCTGGGTAATCTATTTCTGGGCTTTTCTATTCTATGCTATTGGTCTATCTGTCTATCCCAGTGGTTCTCAACCAGGATCTTATTCCCCCCCCTCTGCCCCCAGGAGGCACCTGACAATATCTACAGACATTTTTGGCCATCTCAACTGGGGGAAGGGGGGTACTACTGGTATCTAATGGGTAGCGGACAGGGATGCTGTTGGAAATCCTACAATTCACAGACCAGCTCCACCTACTTCCCAACAAAGAATTATTATGTCCAAAATGTCAATAGTGTCACTGTTTAGAATACCTAGTCTATCCCTATGCAGTCATAATTACTACTGCTTCACTGTTTTTTCACACCGCAGGTTTTCAACAATTTTATTGTATGGCTAAACCTAATACAATAAACAGATTCCCCTTTAATAGACATTTAGATTAACAATTTGTTGTTTTGTTATTACCAACAATGCTGCAATGAATATCCTTGTCCACAGTGTTTGCAGACTACATCTTTAGGTGAAATTCTTAGAAATGGAATTGTGTGTCAAAAGGAATATGATGAACTTCAGTTGCTAGTGCTAGATGGCTTAACACAGAAGTGACAGCCTACAAAAACTGTTTAACTTTACCTGTTTCCCCACAGTTCTGCCAAATTAGTTTCTATTCAGACTTTGACCTCTTCACTGATCTAATAAGTGGGGTTTTTTTTGACTATTTAATTATAAATGAGGCTGAGTAATTTTTCTTTTGCTTATTGACCATCTGCATGTCATTTACTGTGAACTGCTTATCCTGGGCCCATTTTTCTCTGGGAGTAGAAGTTTTTCTTACTGGCAAAGTAAAACTTTTACAAGAACTTGAGTCTCATATGATGCAGATATTTTTCCCTCAGTGTGCCATTTTTAAGAAATGTTTTAAAAAAGTTTTGTCATAAAAGTTTTTCATTAAAATTTCCCCTGTAATTTCTGGATTTTCTTTCCACTCCAGTGAATTATCATTATATGAGTAATACTATTAAAACAAGCTCCTATGCTTGCGTTTTCCTGCCTTGGATTTAGATTTGCTAATTCAGCATTATGCTGCACTGGGTTGTTTTTCATTTAGCATTTAACACCTCCTAAGAATAGCTTAAGATTCTTAAATATTCTATATATTGTGATAAGATTTTATTTGGATCCCCACAATGAGATGCTTTATTTTCTAATCTCCTGAAACTCTCATATTAGTTTAATATCAAATGAAAGTATAGTTGTAGTACTTTATTTTTGGTGAAGGGAAGTAAATTCTTCAGATGCTACATATAAAATTGGTAATGCTTTTTTACTTAGAAAATAGATTTCCATTTTTACAATTTTATTTTAAAGAAAAAGGTAACACTGCCAAGTTTTAAGATTTATATACAGCATTATATAAATTATTTTAAAAGGGTCTACAATTATTAAAAAAATACAACCAGATAGAACAATTAATTTTAACTACCCTTTGGTATCTTTTACACACAAACCTGTCACTTTCAAAAACAACAGAATGGGCCTTAAATACTTAACACATTTGCTTTTATTCAGGATGAATTTTTTTTGACACCAAAGCCACTTTTAAAAAACTTTATCACTTACAAATGTGAAAAATTAGCATAATTACACTGGCACAATTTAAGGAACAGCCAGGTGACAGATTTGGAAAATATTTTGTACTCATAAAGTCTGACCCAGAGAATATTTTGAGATCAAAATTTTCAAACAAACAGTATCAACATTTCTCTAATGCCTTCAAAAGACCAAAATATCTGTAACACGGTATGGTTTTAACTGAAGTATTAAAATTTTTTTTTTAAAGCTATGAAGCTTACTAATAGTTGACACTTAAATAGCCCTTACTAGGTTCCAGGTACTGTTCTAGGGCTTACATCCCATTTCATTTTTTTGTCCTTAGCACCCTATGAGAGAGATACCATTACTGTCCATCTTTAAAAAGGTACAGATAAGAATCGGAGGCATACGCAGCTAAGTAAACTGCCAGAGGTCTCATTCTTCTGATTTATCAAGTACAAACTTCCATGATTTACTACAAAAATAAGCAGGATAGAGTACAAGGAAAATACCAGATTACTTTGTTCAATGTTCTTAAATCACGAGTTATTTAATTAAGAAAATACTCCTTTTCCTTAAAGCTCCCTAACCTGAAGCTCAACTCTGAGAGCACTGCATTTAAAATTCAGAGCACCTGGTCCGAAAGAGGTTCTCAGAGAATCTGCAGTCACCTGCCATAAGAGCATTAAAGGCAGCAGCTACACTATTTGGGCAATGAACACGTGAATCCTCTCAAAGTTCCATTTTCTTCCCCTCCACCATGGACTCCTCTCAAAGCAGAAGTGAGGACAGCCACCCTCCTATCCTCAAGTCCTGTTATATATGATTACTCAGTCCCCAAAGCAGCACTTGGCTATCCCACTGATCCCAAATCTGATAAAGTGCCCTAGAAGTCTGTTACCTTCTGCTTTCTCTCTCTTTTTGGGTTGGCAGTCAGACTCAGCTGAGACCACCTTACTACACTGAGACAAGTAACTGCATGTTAATTTATGATCACGATGAGTGACTTCTCACTGGCAGGAATAAAATGTTTACCCAACAGCCCCCTTATTAATTTCATTTTAACATTAACTAATGTCACTTCACCCATGACTGTCAGAATTAAATATGTTAAGTATGAAACAATAAAGGTAAGCTAATGCTTTTTTAATTGAAGTACAACTGGCATAGTATTACATTAGTTTCAAGTGTACAACATATATTAGTTTCAGGTGTTTAATAATTGTACGCATTACAAAATTGCACAGCTCCATTTTAGCCACAGATAATGAGGGCACTACACTTTTGCAGTGGTAAGTAGGAATGGCTGGTATTAGCAGCTGGTGGGTTACTGATAAGTCTTGTGCTAAAGAACAGCATGTTCACATCTGTTAGTTTTACGATCTACCATGTGATCATTACTATACCATTCTGTATCTGGATTGCAGCTGGACTGAGGAGGAAAATCACCCGCCACTGATGTCAGAAGATTTTTAAGCCTAGGCTCTGGCAACCACTTATTTGTTGTGTATCAAAAGCAAAACACAACCTCTGACCCTCAGTTTTCTCATTTGTAAAATGAGAATACCACCACCCACCTGAGGGATTTCTGAAGGTTAGATATTTAGATAATACCAGTGAAAATGCTTTGCAAAAGTAAAGTATCAAACAAATGTAAAACGTTGCTATTTATTGCTAAGAACAAAACAACATTACCACTCTTCTGTCAGAAGCAGCAACAGATGGCTCATAACTCAGAGTTTGGTAAGGATCTCACTATCAGCAACACTTCAAAGCACTAGCCTACTAAAAACTTATCACAAGAATTACCTCATCAACAAAATTTGCCAAGTTTCAATTACTTAAAAAAATTCTTTTATGCATAAATGCTTCTCTGGCGATGCAAGTGAAGATGGGGAGCGAAACATAAGATGCTTTTCAACACTTCACTCATATGCAAAAACAAAAACTGATTTTTCAGAAGTCTCTCTTGGAAGAGTCTCATCACTCTAGCCAGGTTTTTTCTTTAAATACCTCTGCTTCATAAATTTTATAAACTCCTAAACATCGCCTTCTTCATGAGGAGTTTTGGTAACGGTTTCAAGGTCTGACATTCGATGCCCTGTTCCTTTCGTTCGGATGTCATTTACCGAGACACTTCACCATCATGTGAACCCCATCCCCATCGAAACAGAAGTGACAACACACAAGTACTCTGCATTCTGGAAAGGAAACTGAGGCCCAGGCTAGCACAAGTCCAAGGTCACACACGGAGAGATGGGGGCAAACCGAGGTGCTGTTTTTCCAAGGCTGTCGCCTAGGAAGGGGCGGTCAGCACTCATTCCCCAACAGAAACAGCAGGCAGAGCCCTGCTCACACGCCCAGGCTTCCTCCGCCTCACTCAGGTGCAAAAGGAACAGGGACTGAGGCGGGAGCCGCTCTGCGGTCAACTCAGACCCAGTGTCATCTCCTCCTTCCTCCCGGCCCCCGAGGACGCCCTGTGGGGACGAACCTGGTTCTCCTCCTAACACACTCTCACAGTCTCACACATACTCTCTCACAAACATACACACACACTGTCATCACACAGTCTCGCACATATATACTCTCACACTCGGTCTCTCACACACACAGTCTCAGTCACACACACACGACCCGCGGCCTGCGCGAGGCTGCCCGCTCCCCGCGGCTTGTCTCGGCCCCACAGAGCCGTCCAGGAGGCAGGCTACCCCTCCCCCTTACCGAGAAGCCGGAGGAAGATCTGGAGCCCGATGCAGAACCGGCCTTGGCTGTAATCGTAGTAGTTGTTGAAGATGGCGTCTATGATGTAGAGGCAGGGCACCCGGAGCGCCACTTCGAGCGCCGCCCAGGCCTGCTGATGGGCCATCCGCACCTGCTGC